ATCTCCTAATTTTAAAAAATGAAATAAAATGTGCAAAGATGAGATGTAGACTTAGAAAACCAAAAAGGAGCAACATGCTCAGCATGTCTTTTGTTGTTGTTGTTGTTTTTTGGAGGGAGTTGTATTTTTGTTGTTGTTGTTCAGCATATCTTAAACTGAAAAAACCTCAGGGGGAAAAATTCACACCTTATGTTACAATCTTGAAAGACTCTATGGACAAAATATCGAATGATGCAGGAAGCATCAAGCGAAGATGGAAAGAATACACAGTCACCGTACCAAAAAGAACCAGTTGACATTCCACCATTGCAGGAGGTAGTACACGAGCAAGAACTCCTGGTGCTAAAGGAAGTTCAAACTGCACTGAATGCATTAGCCAAAAACAAGACTTTAGGAATTGGTGGGACACCCACTGAAATGTTTCAGCAGCTCAAGGTGAAGCACTGGAAGCACTCGCTCGTCTGTGCCAGGACCTTTGGAGACGCGACTTGGCCAAGTGACTGGAAGAGAGCCACATTTGTGCCCATGCCACAGAAAGGTGACCCAACAGAAGGCTCACATTATAGAACAATATCATCGATATCACACGCAAGTAAAATTTTGCCAAAGATGATCCAAGGTTGCAGCAGTGCATTGACAGGGAGCTGCCAGAGGGTCAGGTCAGAGTCAGAAGAGGACGTGGAACAAGGGATATCATTGCTGATGTCAGGTGGATCTTGGCCCAAAGCAGAAAATACCAGAAAGATATTGACTTGTGTTTCATTGACTACGCCAAGGCATTTGACGCTATGGACCACAACAAACTGTGGACCACCTGGAGAAGAATGGGGATTCGGAGCACTTTGTTGTGCTCATTTGGAACTTGTCCGTGGATCAAGAGGCAAGTTGGGTGAGCAGAACAAGGGAATGCTGCTTGGTTTAAAATCAGAGGTGTGCGCGCGTGCACAAGGGTTGTCTCCTCTCCCCATACTTGTTCACTCGGGATGCAGAGCGGACCATCAGAGAAACTGGATTATATGAAGAAGATTGGGGCATCAGGATTGGAGGAAGGCTCGTTAACAACCTGCAGTGATTGGCAGATGCACAACCTCGCTTGCTGAAAGTGAGGAGGATTTGAAGCGCTTCCTTCTAAAGATCAAGGATTGTAGCCTTCGGTTTATGGATTTTTAACTCAATGCAAAGAAGACCAAACTCCTCATAAGTGCTAACACCATGATCAGTGGAGGAAAGCTAGAAGTTCTCAAGGATTTTGTCTTGCTTGGGTCCACCAGCAGCGCTCAGAGAAACAGCAGTCAGGAGATCAAGTGAGGCACTGCACTGGGTAATCCATTGCATAAGACCGCTTTAGAGTACTGAAAAGCAAGGGGATTACTTTGAGGACTACGGTTTACTTGACCAAGCTAGGGTATTTTCAGTTGCTTTATATGCATGTGGAAGTTGAATAATGACTAAGGAAGGCCGCCGATGAATGGATGCAGTTGAATTGGGTGCTGGAAAAGAATATTGAAAGTACCAGGGACTGCTCAAAGGACAGACCACTCTGTCTCGGAGGAAGTCCGGCCAGAGCTCCGCAGAGGCAGGGAAGGCGAGGCTTCATCTCACGTACTTTGACCCGTCGTGAGGAGACGAGCCCGCCCCTGGAGAAGGACCTCATGCGTGGTAAGGTGGAGGGGCAGCGAGAGCGAGGCGGCCCTTGATGAGCTGGGCAGAGGAACCACGTTGAGAACGGCACAGGGCAGACAGTACCTCCCGCTCTTTTGGGGACTGGGTCACTGTGGGTTGGGAC